ATTTAATTTTTTTAATATATTACTAACATTACTACTATCGTTTTATTACTTTTTTATATCTAACTAATATATTAATAATATTACTAACTTTTTATTATTTCTTTTTTATATTTAAAATAATGATAATGTTACTAATTAAATTTCTTTTTTTTTTTGTTTATATTTTGCTAATATTATTTTTTTTACAAATAGTATATTATTTTATACTAGTTTTTTTATTTATATTATTTATAAAAAAATATTTGTATATTTAATATTATTTAATAAAAATTTTATTGATTATAAATGCATTTTAAATTCTGTTTGCAAATATAAAATATACGATTTAATTGAATAATATATACTATTTATCAGTACAAAATATGCAGTTTAAATTGGAAAAAAGTACTGTTTATCAGTATAAATATACGGTTTATCCTGAAAAGTATACTGTTCGCAATATAAAATATAAAACAATATACTGTTTATTGGTATAAAATATACGGTTTTTCTACTATTTACAATGGAAAAATATACTGTATGCAAACCGTATATATGATACGGTGTGCAGAATACCGAATATATACAGTATGTGAAAATACTGTAATTATACGGTAATAATACTATAAATATACTGTTCGCAAAATACGAAAATATAGTATACTAACCGTATATATATTTTTTATAGGGTTATCTTATAGTAACTAATACATAAAGGTTTGAGTTATATATTATCAGCATTCTTATCATTTTCTATTAGATCTAGATTATTTGAAAAATAACCATCAATAATTTTATTAATTTAGATATACATACGCCAACGTAATAAAATACCTGATTCTAATGCAATTAACATAGTCCATTGGGTTTCTGGAGTAGTATATTGAAATATTGATGGTTGAGGTTGGTGAAGAGGCGTATTCTAAAGTTTAGCTACGTGTGATGGTGAAAAATTGTTTCATGCTTCAAATAAGGTAATAGGCGAGCACATATATATCCATCATATTGATACTGTCAAGGCTATTTCCAATAAAATAGTTTTGAAATCCCTTTGATTGTTTTAATCTTTGACTTTTTTTTGATTGTTTTCATGACTCTCAGAATCATTATTACGATTGGGTTCAAGGTTAGCTAATGAAGTTCCAGATAATCCTTTTGCTGCTTGAGCAATATCATCACCACTTGATAAATCACATCCAATTCGTAAATATCGTTTGATTGCATGCATTATCTAGGAATGATGGTATAGTATAATCAGATATTATAGTCAATTGATTTCAATTGGATTAGAACTTACTGATGCATGATGTGAATCTACTATTGTTTTCGCTTTCCCAGGTTCAAGAAACAACCAACTCCGAATTTCAATATCATACCAAGTATACCAATAACTTACAATTGCCATGAGCTTAGAATTGTGACAATGTGGACTATTGTCTGATATTACTTTGATCCATTTAGGCTTTTTACTTATTGTTTCAAATACTGCTTCAAATACCAATGCTGTGAACCAAGCATCCTGGTTGGTATCCAAAGACCAATGATCATAAGCTCCAATATCTAATTTATTTGAATTTGTTTCTCTCATAAAAATTAAAATAGTATGCAAGATCCATCCACGCTTTCCAAAAAAATCTTGCTTTGTTTCATGTGCTGATTGTGATAATATTCGCATTTTATAATCAGCAATAATAACTGCACCACTTGAATCCAACTCAGCTAATGTGGCATTAAACTGGGCATTTAGAAATACTTTGCATGCTTGGTGTGAAAGATAGTACAACAGGTGCTCTTTAGCTTCAGCAAGTTGTGATTGATAATTTTCAAAAGTATTTTTAGTCATGAAATCAAAAAATTCAAAAAGTTGATTACATTTCAAACATTGTGTTTTATGTTTATTGTTGCACTCTCCAAACGCATATGGTAAACAATGAGAAATACAAGGATTGTGAATAACTTGACCATCTGGATTAACTGCTAGTTCTTTTTCAAAACCTCGCTTTAATTGTCTTTTTAGCTTGTCAAGTTGGTTAAGAATCATATGTTAAAATATCTCTAGTAAGTAATTTATATGTTATTGTGAAAGGTAAATATGATTTAGTTTCAACTAACCATAATTGTTTTATCTTTGAAATTATCCCGTATTATGTTGGCCAAATTCTCAAATACCTCAAATCAATAATCATTGCAAATTTGACATAAATCTCCAAGATCATTACAGTATTTCAAATTAGTAGAATTTTTTAGACGTGCCATAAAAGTTAATCTTTTCATACCATTTGGATAAGTTTCGGTAAACTTATTTCATAGTTCACTTTTTTAATCTCGAAGATATAGAACTGGCAACCCTGTTTTTACATCTATATAGTAAGAACTCATAGTAACATTTTCACGATCTTGAAAAAAAATAGTAAATTGTTCTTCTTGTGCATTACTTAAACATTGAACTTTTCTTTTTATTTTATTTATGGGTGGAGCACCTAGACCATATAATTTTGCATATTTTCGTGCATCAGTTATAGTACTAGAAGTCACCTGATACGCAAAAAAAAAAAATATTAAAAATCAAAAAATCAATATATCTAGAATCATATAATGATTTAGCTACTATTACTTACTCCTAATTCCTGTATTAAATCTTTATATTTAAACTTTAGTGCAATAATAGATAAAATATGAATTTTGCCATCCTATCCTTTTTTATTTGAATTTATTGCATCACGAAAATTTTTCTAAAGTAAATCTTCTTTTTTATTATCAATATTAAGCAATTTAGAATTATACAAATTTTCTAATATTTGTCTATCTGCTTTATTATTATAGGCTCTACTCCAAAATTCAATTTGAGATTCTTCATATGAAAAAGGCTGGGGTTATATTTGAACATCTGTATGCTTTAAACATAGCACGCCATGCTCTTAGCTTTTTGTCTTGTAGTTTGTAATCCTCTGGATATATTTTAGCTAATATAGATGGAAATTGAACAATAGAACTTTCTTGTTTATACCAATCATAGAATAATTGTGACCAGTTAATCATTGTATTTGGAAGTTTACATAATTTTATATGTCAGTTAAATACTTTTGTAAGTTTTTCATAATTATTCCATTCATCAGGCTTACATATAGCCACTTCAAATTGTAATAAATTCTGAGTAGTTTCGTGGGTAATTCTGAAGAGATATGATTCAGAAAATTTTTTATGTATACCAACTTTTTTCCAGACATCATTTGGCATTGATTCAGTAAATTGCTCAATTTTATTAGCATTATGATATATTTCTAAAATACACTGATTATCTTCCAATTTCAATAAAAATAAGTGCTGTGAATTCTGATATCGTGTAATAAAGGAAGAAGTAAAATCCTCCCCAGCTCCATAATACCCATCTTTGGATGAATAGCCAAGACCTGAAATTACAACTGATAATTTTTCAATCTGAAGAAATATTAGAAAAAATTCTATTTTATCAAGTAATTGCTGAATAATTTTTTCATCCTCAAAACCAATAACCGCCATACCAGAATACTCAGTTTTAGTTCCAAAAACTTCCTTATAACATGAGTTTATGGCTGTTGAAGGGTAAGGTTCTATTTTTGAACTTATGTTTTCACAAATACATTAAAAACCAGGTTTATATTCATTTTCATTATTTTGAAGGACTGTAATTATGAAGTCCTTGCCATTAAGGAAACAACTAACACGCATGTATAAGCGAAATGGTACGGTAAAAACTATGTTTTTGTCTTTTGAATTTAATGAAATGGTTTTCCACCAATCTTGTGCAAAAATACCATAATGTAATATTGGGGAAATAAGCCCAATTCCTAAAAGTTTTGAAGTAAAATGACATTTTTTAGACATTTGGCTAATGAAATTCACGAACAACTTTACATTCAGAAATACGGTTTTTAATTATCACCTGACTCGCAGATCAGCAATTAAGTCTTCTTTATTATAATCATCTATATTCAAAAGTTCAATAATCGAAGACATTATAACTAATTAAAGATTGAAATATAAGTGTATTCTGAAGAAGACGTGTTACAAAATTTTAAAAAAATTGCATTATATATGTCATGAGTTCTATAAATTCAACTTAAAGGGTTAAATTATGATCTAAAAAGACAAAAAAGAAATAAAAATTAGGTTTATTAACAGTTAAATGTGAAAAAACCCTAATTATAGTGTTAAATAAAATATTCTTAATTGAAAAAAATAATATCATTAAAGTGTCCAATTGCTATTTGAGATTTTGTAATTTCCATCAGTGAAAGATTAGAATACCCACTTGCGGAAAATATTCTAACTTATGGGAAAATTTTCAATTATCTACAATAATTATTATTTGATTAGGTAATTAATAAATCAGCAAATAAATATTTTCACACCCCTAAAAATATGAAATGAATTATTTACAAACATTTTCCGAAAATAAATTACTTACTAACCTTTTTTCCAAATCAAATTACTTGCGAAAAATATCTAAAATATCAGAAATCCTTCATTTATTTATATAGGTTGATGTTTTACAATAAATAAAATCTGATCTTATAACACATCTAATATATCAGTAATATTTCTGTATATGTACAAGAAAATTTTATAATATATATCAAAAAAAAGACAATAGAATGATACTATAAATTTTTACAATTGCAAAAATATAATTTTTACTACTTGTTCAATACAAGCCAACAATTTAATACAGTAATGGTATTAATATTAATAATACCACTGAAAGGAATGATGACTAACTTGAAAAGATTTTTGACCTTTTTATAAATAATAAGAATCTTTCCACTTCAATTACTATTAATTATTAAAGAAAGATTGAATCTTCCAAAATTCCTAAAAATTCATAATGTCTCTGGAAAATGATAAATTCTTACACTAAAAGTTACTTAAGAAATTCTTTTAAAACATTTTGTTTTGATCAGTTAGAAACTCCAACAAATAACCTAAAAATAGGAAAAATAGAAAGAAAAAATATTAATGTTTTTTTAACCATTCTAAGAAACTTCAGAATCTAAAAAAAAATCAAAATGTCAAAAAAAAGAGAGAAAAAAAAACCTTAATATCATTTCCTGAAAGTAAATTTAGACAAAACTCTTTCCTCTTACTAGAAATATGTTCAATCGCTCCTAAAAAAATAAAAAGAAATGTAGTTTTGTTTAGTTTTGTCAAATGACACGTGCCAAAAAAAAAAGTTGTTCATACAATCATACAAGTCATTCTTTATTTTTGGTTCGTGATAAACATACATGTATGAAATCGTTACCATACATAGCATACATGTGACATCATACATATATCGGTTTCCATACAATACTTGTTTTTTATTTAATCTGTATACATGACATGTTTTCTACATACCGAAGGTCACTAGGTGCTCATCCTACTTCATTATTGAGTTGGTCTATTACAGAATCGGGTACATCAACAGTTGGTACCGTCACCACTATACTTGCCATCCATTTAAAATCCCCTCCCATCCCCTCCCATCTCCTCCCCTTTCATCCCATATCCCATCCCAATCCCATATCCCATCCTATCCCAAATCCCAATCCCAAATCCCATCCCATCCCAAATCCCAAATCCCATCCCAAATCCCATTTACTTGTATAACATTATTCCAATTGGACAATAGGCACATGACATTACACAAACTTCTAAAAAAAGGAAAATTTGCTTCCCACAAAATTTGCTTCCTGCAAAAAATAAGAGAATTTGGTTTCACAAGTATTTCAAAAAAGGAAATTTATGCACCGATTACATAATTCTGGCCGGCATTCCAGAAATTTTACTACTAATTCCGGTCAGAATTTAGTTTAAATTCTTATCCTACATACCCCAATTTTTAAGAGATTTACCAATCAGATTTTAATGAAATTTATATTATTAGATTCATCTTGATGCAAGGAATTCAATGGCAATGAAATTATATTCCCAACATTAATATTGACTAAGTTATTATAAAAAATGTATTTTATAATATATTATTAAAAATAACATGTTATAAAGCAATGGATTACTTTTTATATAAAAAGTTTTTATTCAGTTTATTTTATTACAATTTAACTTTGAATTAACTCAAACTTATCTATTAGTTCATCAACATCAAAACTTAGATCTCCATGATGCATCATACTTTCCTCATTACCTTTATTATTACCTGTATCATCATCTTTATCATCTAATATACTTGTTGATAAATTAATAAAATTTGAGACTTCTAATTTATAATTATTTACATCTTCTAAATTTACTGTTTCTTCAATTTCATTGATATTTTCAAAAACCAAATCAATTTCAAGATTATTATTATCACTGTCATCAAATAAATCAACTCCATTATTTATTGATGATACAATCTGATTTAGTGTTTTATCAAGCTTTTCTGAAGTTATTTCATCATCTAAAAACTTTAATTCTGATTTTGCATTCATTAAAAGATATGAATGTACTTGTGCCATAGCCTGAAATCTATCAATATTTATTCTATAAAAAATAAGATATTAAATAAAAATAACTAAAATTAATATACATATAGTTCAACTGAATTTACTTACTTAGTACACCGTTTACTAAAATACCATCCTAAGATAGAGAAAACTCTTTCACAATCTGCATTGTGAGGCATAATTCCATGCATTTTTAATGCAAGTTTTCTAATAGGATCTTCTTCTTTTTTAAGTTCTACTGAAGTCCACCAATTTATAGGATTACTAATACTTTCTGTATATGGATCATCAAAAGAATCTTCTCTATCTCGATATAAATTAAGTTGTATAAGCAAAAGATTAGAGCTAAGGTTGCTTGCCGAAACCTAGGGGTTTAGGCAAGATGGCGTTTCGCCGAAAAGCGAAATTCTGCCGAAACTATATTAAAGTTATATTAAAAAACTGGCGAAACTTTGGAGAAAGGCGAAACTGCTAAAACTTATTATAAATGCCGAAACTGCCGAAACTCTGCCGAAACTATAATAAATCTATAGTAAAATTTTGACGAAACTAATCGTAGGATTTTGAAGAGGTTTAGACAAGCAACCTTAATTAGAGCTATTTTTTTCACCACCAAATTGGTCTTTCCAAATATTAATAGCCTCCCTAGATATTTTTTTAAAAATCTTTTGCTGAAAGCAAGATGCTAAAAATTTATATTATAAATCTATTAGATAAAAAATTTTAAATTATTAAATTGTATTTTTAATTTCTTACCTCGATATTTTGAATGGAGTAAAAATGCTACCATATAAGTATTAATATCAAATTCCTTCCATTTTTTATTAAAAATAGCAATATACTTCTTCTTAAAATCAATATTTTAAAAAGAGGGAATTTCTGATATTGCTCGTGCCATTTTAAGTAATTCAAAAAAACAGTCAGCTAATGTAGTTGTATTAAATTCAAGAGCACTTTTTGCAGGTTTTAAAATCAGTTTTAATTGTTTTACATTATACCAAAACTGCCTATCTTGAATAATAGCTTTAGTTTTAGTGGCATTAATAAAAATATCAGGTTGCTCACTAAAAATCTTTATATTAAAAAAAGTATATTAATATTATATGTAATAATATATAAAATAAATAAAATAATACCAATCAATTTAATATTATTTTCTGATCATAAAATTGAATCACAGACATCCCATGTTGTGCTCCAACAAGTTTTAACTGAAGACTTCAAACTTCCTTTAGAAAAAAATTTTCTAATTTTATTACGCAATGCATCTCCAGCTCGGTGTGTACCATGAAAAAATGAAATAACTTTTTGGCATTTTTGAAGTATTTCTTTTGCCCAATCAATAGAAATTATATCTTTAGTTATTAAATTAATATGGTGAGCTATACATCTGATAGCCATTATATGTGGATATTTATTCATTACTTTTCTTTTAGCTAATTGCATTGCAGTTTCTGCATCTGTAACAATTGCTATAAATTTAGAGTTACCTACATTTTCAATAACTTTAAGCATTTTTTCTTCATTAAATTCAGCTGTATGACATTGAGATGAAAAATCATTAATTGAATATATATATTGACGTCGTATAGGAGTTATTATTACAAATGCATAAATACTTTATCCAAGTGGACTAGTCCATAAATCAATTCCTGATATTAAAAAGAAATATTTAGTATTTTTTTTTTTAAAAAAAAAAAAATTCTTATAAAATATATAATAATAAAATTAAAAATTCTAACTTAAAGTTAAATTTTTTGATTGATGCAATTCTTCTTCAATTTTTAATATTACATTTGCTGATTCTGCATTTAAATAAGTAGTTGATAAGGTTGTTCATTTTGGTAATTTATATTCAAAACATAAACTTTTTACAAAATCTTGAAAAAAAGGAGAATCTACAACTGAAAAGGGTATTCCACAACATATGAAAAAACGAACTAAAGATTTATCAGTTCTTGTAAAATCAATATTTCCACTATTATCTGTTTTATTAATTTTACTAATAGATTTTTCAGAAACTTCTTCATTTGAAATCATACGTAAATATTCTATTTTAATATTGTGTGGAACTTTGGAACATCTTAAAGCTAAATGTGATTTCATTTCTTTTGGCTTTTCACGTTTTCATGATTGTTTACAAAATTTACATACTGCTCCTTTATGTGTATCATTTGGAATATCTACAATATCAAAGTAATCCCATACTTTGTCCCTTCTTTTACCTGATTTTTTTTTTATTTAATTTTAATTTTTTTTTTTAATATCATCTAAAATTGTACTTGTGTCATTTAATATATTTGAATAATTCAAATTATCATTCAAAGTAGTATCTTTATCAGTTAAAATATTGCTTTCAGTTTTTTATTATTAAATAAAATATTAATTTTTAATATTTGTATTAAATATAAAAATAATACTAGTACACAAATACAAATATAAAGTAAATATACCATTATGATTAAAAGTAACAATTTATTTAATTGAAATTTGGGTTTTCTTTTTTTTTATTTTTTTTAAAAAAAAAGAGTTGGGGTAGTTCACATTTTTGGTTAACTATATATATTTGTTTTAATCATATTAGATAATAAGAAAGTGGCTTAGTATTTAGTTAAATCAAATTACATTACTAATTTTTTTGGGCTTAGCTAATTTTTAATTTTTTGCTAAACATTTAATAAAAAAGGCAAAAAAGGCTTAATTTTTTTTAGCCAAGCAAATTATACCAATATAACAATGTTCAATGATTTAGTATTTTAGTTTTTTACATTAATTTTTATGCTTAGCTTTTAATAAAAAGAATTTATCTTTAAACTAAATTATACTAATTTTTTTGATTAAATTACATTAATTTTTGGGCTTAGCTAATTTTAATTTTTTCTAAAAATTTAATAAAAAAGCCTCAGTATTTTTAAGCCAAGTAAATTATACCAATAATTTAACATTTTTTTTTAAGCCAAATTACATTTATTTTTGTGTTTAGCTTTTAATAAAAAAGAATTGATCTTTAAGCCAAATCATGCATGCTAATTTTTTTGGCTTAGCATTTAATTAAATCAATTACATTAATTTTTGGGCTTAGCTAGTTTTTAATTTTTTCTAAACATTTAATAAAGAAAGCTGTTAAGCTAAGCAAATTATATTACCAATGGCTTAGTATTTAGTTTTTTAAGCCAAATTACACTAATTTTGTATTTAGCTTTTAATAGAAAGACTTGATCCTAAATCATGCAAATTTTTTGGTTTAGCATTTAATTAAATTAAATTACATTAATTTTTTGGGCTGCTAGTTAAGCATTTAATAAAAAAAGGCTTGATTTTTTTTAAGCCATGCAAATTACATCAGTGATTTAGCATATAGTTTCTTAAGCCAAATTACACTAACTTTTGTGCTTAGTATTTAACAAAAGAAACTTGTTCTTTAAAAATAATACTAATTTTTTGTGCTTGGCATTTAATAAAAAAAAGTTTGATTATTTATTTCTAATATACAATTTGATGGATTATTATTATATGATATTGCATAAATATTTAATAAAATAATATTTACAAACCAAAAATTAAATTAATCTAAAAAAAAAGTATCATCATCAAAATTATTAATTCAAATAAAATAATCAATATATTACTAACTGCTAATATGCTACTTTTAAATAATATATATTACAAAATACATTTTTTATAATAATTCAGTCAATATTAATTTTAGAAATACAATTTTACTACCATTGAATTCCTTGCATCAAGACGAATCCAACAATATGAATTTCATTAAAATCTGATCGGTAAATCTCTTAAAAATTGGTGTATGTAGGATAAGGATTTAAACCCTTGTAATTTGTAATTCTGGCCGGAGTTAAAATATAAACTTCGTGAATCTGTTCGGATCTTAATTTTGCTCATATTCTGGTAATAGCTGCAATGCTGGCCAGAATTATATGATCGGCGTAAAAATATCCTTTTTGGGAATACTTGTGAAACCAAAATCTCTCAATTTTTGCGGAAAGCAAAATTTCCTTTTTTGGAAATTTGTGTAACGTCACGTGATAATTGACCAATGAGATTATTTGGGATAAGGGATGGGATAAGGGATATGGGATATGGGTGGGATTGTGGGATTGGGATGGGATTTTGGCAAATGGGATGGGATATGGGATGGGATGGGATAGGGGATTCTCCCATCCCATTTAATATGGGTGGCAAGTATAGTCACCACTGGCATCGCTTCTTTATCATTTTGTGTCTGACCAAATGACAACGTCATCCCATCCACAGCTGAACCCTGTTCTAATAATGCAAGTCTAGCCTCAAGCTCTCCAACTCTAGACTTGAGTTCGGCATTCTCAGAATCACGCCTTGCATTCTCTTCAATAATTTGCTTCAGCTTCGCATTCTCAGCCTCAACCTCAGCAAACTTTAGTAACTTCTCTCTAAGTTCGGGAATCTCAGCATTCTCCTTCTTAAGCTCTGCAATCTCAGCTAAGAGCTTGGAATTTAATTCTTAATGGATTGCATGTTCGATAATAATTTTTTATATAAAACGGAATAATTCAAAAGTTCGTTAGCATAGATAAAAAAACCGTGACAAATGTCACGATCGGAATTATTGATTTATTGATGTAAAAAAAAATACATTGTTTTACAATGTGAAATAGAGTCGCCTGCCGGTGTTTCGCTCATCTAAGCTATCTAAGCTATCTATATACTAACATATCCCAATATTAACTCTAATCCGATTTTTTTTGTCTCAACGTCGATATTCTGGATAGAATAAAATGGTCGTCAGTTTATGTATAGAAGAGTCAGAAATAAATTAACAATATTGGGCTTAGTAAAACTCACCAAAGGTATGTTCCCCGCCTAATAAGGTCCTCGAAATTTCTGAATAAAAAGAGATTAGCTTTACAAGCTATGAATCACTCCCTTGCAAATGCACAGTCACAGCCTTTAATTGTGAAGTGTCTCGTCCGGACTTTAATAATTTTTTCGTCAACACTTCTTAACTGCGATAGGTTCATGCTCGGAGAAAATAGCACGACGGCTTGGGGTCGGAATAAGAAAAAAAAAGTTGTACAGAGAAAACGCCTTAATTACACCAGATTTAATTTAGTTGTCATTATGACATAATTTAAAATTAATTTTATTGGCTACTAATTGTTGTTGTACAACCGAAGAATTAATAAATACCTATCTGAATAATGATAAAATCGTATGAATCACTTTTTTTCGCTTTCTGATAAATATACTTTTTTTTACTATGCTTATCTCATTATACTGTATAAACTTTTTTTTTACTGTGCTTATATCATTATATAAACTTTTTGTGTCACCAATTAATAGTTTATAAAGATCATTTTATAATTAATCATGATGTATCCAAAAAAGTATATAAAGTATATATATACTCAAGTTTCCTCAAAACTTCTTTCTCTAAAAAAATACTTTAACTAAAAATTTATTCTATTGCTTTATAGCAAAATGAAGGTGTCGTTAAATTGTATATTTCTAGGAATGACTGCTTTTTCTGATTCTTTTACGGTTTCCCTTTATGAAAAAAATAATACTGAAAATGGTGAAGTCGTCTTTGATGATCTTAAAATTGGACACATTAAGTTTCTTATCTGTCGTGAAAAAGATATTAAAATTAATAATTATAATGATCTAAACCTTTGGAAGGCTGACTTCGCTTACGGTTATAAGCTTAAAATTCTTACTGAAGAACAAATTTGTAATGATAGCGAATTGTTGGTGCCTATCATTCATTTTAAGGAATATTTTTCAGATCAAGATGCGATTAACAAAAGTCTCATCTTCGTACAAGTGCCCGTCACTAGTAAGTGTCTCCCAAGTCCCAACATTTTACCTTTCGAACAAGGAAATTGCAGTCGAAACAATGATATATATTTCGTCATTTATTAATAATATTGAATATGCTTTCTAACTGTTATTACAACCATTAGAGCTTGAGAGGAAAAGGAAAAATACGGAAGTAGAAAGTAAGAAATGTTCTTGTTTCTATACGTAGCTATATATTTCATTCTATCATTCTTACAAATGTTTCTCTACAGCAACAAGTAGAAAGAGAAAAGAATGGGCGGTTAATAGTACCATTAGGAATGAAATAAGTGGTTCAGTATACTTTGTTGATCCAGCAGAAACGAGTAAACCACTTTTTAACATGATTAAGAAAGGAGAATTTGTAGCTTTATATGGTGCACGGGCTTCCGGGAAGTCTACACGAGTAGATCAAGCTTTGATTGAGTTGGAAAGCGAAGGCTATATTTGCATTTAGTAAGTTCTATCTAGTAAATTGCATTTAGTATAACTATTGCTTACATCTCTTTTTTTCTTTGGAACAGTGTATCTGTTGAAGGAGTAAATATGAGTACCGTGAACACATTCTGGTTGTCAATAGGCGCTAAACTTGTCATTAATGCTCCAAAATATTTTAAATTAAATGAAATCAAATCTGCTGATGAATTCACGTTGCAATTTCGGAAAGAACTTTGGAATGATAAACATGTTGTTCTTTTCATTGACGAGTATGATTCATTACTTGAAGCAAATGATGATATTAGATCCTCATTCCTTGGAGCAATTCGTAACATTAAAAATTCAAAAAGAGACTATGCAATCTGGTCTTTTGTAGCCATCGGTCCCCTAAGTATTTTATTTCTGAAATCAGACAAAATAAATGTTTCTCCATTCAACGTTAAGGAGCCATTTAGGAACCCAAATTTCACTTTGGCACAAGTAGAGTCAATATATAAAGATTATGAAGATGACAACAAATTGACTATTGCTCCAGAGGTCATTAAGGATATTTATGAACGGACAAACGGGTATGTGAAGCTGGTCAGAAGTAATATGAAATCAATACTAAAATTTGTTTTCTGTTATTTGACAGGCATGCTGGCCTCGTCTGCCTTTGTGGCAGAGCTATCCAAAATAATTTAGAAGAAAAACTTGACGAAAGAAGATGTCTTGATTTCACTCTCTGGTTAAGCTTTGTTGCAAGTCCACAACTGGTGGATTGTATGGCTAATTATAGTACATTTAGAAAGATGATTGACAATCTTATTAAGCCTGATGCTAAGAAAGCTATGGACTTTCTCCGATCTGTATTTATAGGATTTTTCGATTTTGTACAAATTAATGATAATGAAGAAAGAAGACTAGCAGATTACTTAACTGTTCAAGGGGTACTCATGAAGGAAAATGAGAACAATCATAGTTACAGAATGTCATCTATTTTTGTTGATGGATTGATTCAGCAAGAGGTTATTCCTGTATTATACAAGTCTTTGCCAACTATTTCAGTTCCTAGAACGAAAGATAACTTTCTGAAGACCCTTGATATTTTAAAGGAAGCAATCCGTTGTTTCGATAAAAACATCATCTCTAATGCTTACAACCGGTCATTTAAAACTGTGCTTGTGCCAGTAGATAGCTGTCGTAATGTTGCAGTCCCTCGAAAGAGTGTTTATGATAACGAACTAAATAGAATCTTGACAAATTGGATCACCAAAGAATGTGATTTTCAAGTCACAGGACAGTGGCATCTAATAGATCACGCTGGTAATGATCAAAAAGACAAGCATTATTATAGTGATATAGTCATTATAACTCCAAAACAAACAGTCGTTCTTGAACTCTTGGCAACACCAACAAAAAATGAACTTGAAGAACATTCTAAAAGAGTTCTCAACTATGCGGAAAAACTATCTGCAAATGAAATTTGGATCGTAAACTTTACATGTGAGGATGATGTGTTGAAGCAACCCTATTGGCCATCCAATAGTAATATTAATATAGTACACTTCTCTCACGACAAGACATTTAATAATATAAGAATGAGTGCCAGATTTTTATCCACCTCTAATACTGTTGATTTTATTGAAGACCAACAGGTTATGCCATAATAACTATATAACAATAAATTCCTCATGCTTATTAGTATTTTATAATTTACATTCATTAATATAGAAACATTCATATAATATTTGCGGTGAGTATCAAGAATTAACTTGCAAATACTATGCAGAAAAATATTTCTGATTCTTCTGTGGCATATAACTACTATTCCATGGAAAATATGTATATACCTTGAAATCTTTATCTTTGGTATTTTCGCTATCATGGTGAAGGTTTTTGTGTTAATGATTAGATAGTGATTGTCGATGGGTAAAATTGCTATAAACAGAAGTTGACACTAGTATAGTTAAAACATGATAGAATAATGTATCATTAATATTACTATTCGTATTGATACTTCTAGTTATATATTATTTGGTAGCAGTTAAACATATCACTTTATTGTTATTAACTAAACTCGTAGCGGTATTATAATTTATTATCTGTTGGTATAATTGTTAAAAAATAAAATTGTATTTATGCTAAATTTGCTAAATTACAAATTCATGCAATATTGCGATATTAACACTTTATTAAAAGACGTGATAAATTATCTGTTTACTTGATGATAAAATATTATTTTTTCCTGATTAGTGATACTCTATTAATAACCAATGATCATCTATTCCAATCATTATTGTAATGAACTTGAATTGTTCTTATTGTATTCTTCTTGTATTTAACCATCGCTACATTATATTCTGTATAATAATAAACGTGATAGATTGCATACATATCACAAAGTTAAAACATAATGCTACGCAGATCCTAGGTCATATAATGCGAGTTCCTGCCTACATTTACGGTAAATTTCTACAGCTATCGCTAATACTAACTACGAGATTCTCACACTTCCATTCATTCAAAAAAATAAACAGAAGTTAGCATATCGAAAATATATTCACATAGTGTAACTGTGAAGAATCTTCACGATCAAAAATCATGTGCACGTGAACAATAGTTCACGCCGATCACTTTTGTAAGAAAAATTTTTTATTATTAAATGCAAAAAATAAATACAAATGTTCAGGACGTAGCCCTGGATACATGACGATTTTTTTCTATGCTAATTCCCTATTATACATGCTTATTTTTTCGAATAATAACCCTCTATCCTAACCCTTTTCCTTTCAGGTTTTTCCTCTGCATATGCTCTGTCCTTTAATAAACCTACTACTATGTCCAACACTCTTTTCACACCATTACGTAACGTTTGATATTCTATAGAGTCTTTATTCAAGGCATCTTCAGAAAATTCGATGCTAAGTGGTAATTTATTGCCTTGCAAAATTTTCTCCAGTGTGTACAGCAGGAAGTGCTAGTTCCAAGCTGTAGTGACAATACCATAGAGGTAATCGAAATCATTGTCATCATCTTGCTTTTATTTTCTCATATTCGTTTGGAATGAGCTCTCCAACTGTTTGATATTTTGAGCAAAATCCTTGATTAGATTTCACTCTGGTTTATTCTCAGTGACGCAAATAAGGTATGGCATTAGTATAACTTCGAGTTAGAGCTCCGCAACCTGACCTGACAGATCGGGTGACCCGACAGGTTGACCCGAAATATTCAGGTCAAGTCATCAATTTCATGACCTGACACGGGTCGG